AAGAAAAAAGAGGCCGAAGTCCATAAAAAGGGACCCGTGCCCTAAAAAATAATAATAATAATAATAATAATAAAAGGCCCATGGACTATAAGGAGCAATTAACCCATTAAAAAAAATACAAAGCCTAAAAAGTGGCAGAAAGGGACCAAGGCCAAGAAATAATTCCATCCAAGACCTAAAGAGCATTCAGACAAAAGTGCCAAATTGTCGTGACTTGCACAGTTAAAAAAGTTCACTTGTGCAAGTCACGAGGGGCATTGTTGGCACATAAATTTTAACAAAATTTATAACATGTATAGAGCCTATGATAGGGAAGTTGTAGGTAATCACTTCCTAAAAAGATTAATATGATTCGTTGAAGTGCATAAATAAAACGACGTTGTATCTTAACAACGTTATTCAAGATGCTCAAGTGACACGTAGAGCCTATGAAAGATGACACCTGTAGAGCTTACAGCAAGGACATCACACAGGATGAAACCCCAAAGATCAATCCAGTTAATCAGATATACGATTAATCAAATAGCGCTATTATTCAAAATTCAAATGGCGCTATCATTCAATTTGAAATTCAAATTGAAGATGAGGCATTCCTATCACCTGATGGCCCTCTATAAATATGAGGACCATCACACAAGACGGGGGATCAGGAAATCAGAAGTAAAAAGATCAAAGAGAGAGAGAGAGAGAAATTGAGAGCTAAAGAAGTCGTTATAAGAAAAAAGAAGAGAAGCCTAGAGAACTCAAGAGCCTACGCTAATGGTGATGAATAGGTAAAGGGTTCCAAATTCAAGAATTGTATTTTGTATTCGATGGTTCAAAGCCCATAACAATTTCAATAAAATATTTATTTTTCTTAAATTGTCTTTTGTTGTTTATTTTGTTCTTCATTAATTGAAGGTTTCATTTGCATAACATGTGTAATTAACGATCTGAAATACAGATTAAAAATAAGAACCTGCAATTCAAATAATCAACACCGTTTGGTCCAAAAACTAAACAGTGGACATTTGTAACATAAAATTTTGAAATGTGTTGAAACACTTTCATGTTTTAAAATTTGTGTCTACAGGCGTGCAGGTTCATGCATATGTATCCACAAATCTTTCAATTCGTATGGACATGGACCACTGAAGTTAGAGGAAAATATCCCATCTAGTTTGATTTCCAAGCTAGTTATATCTAGATCTCTATATATAAATAGTGATATACATGCGTGTGTTGTAAAACATAACAAGACTTCATAGTTCAAGCTCCATGGATCCAAATAAAGAAAAAACCTTCCAAATGTTATAAATGTGGATGCATGTAATAATACCAAGTACCAACATATTCTCTAACCACTAAAACACAGGGAGTGGCATCTTTAGAAGTTGATATGGGAACACAATCTTAGGCATGAATGTTTTGCTTGAGTGCAAGAATTTAATCATCGTTACCTTGTTGCTGACAAAATTGTATAAGATTATCATCTCTGGGATTGTCAGAAACACCATTTCTGGGTCTGAACAATGGAGGGCCAAAGGCTTGACATGAAAATATTCAGCAGTTATCCCATAACTAGACAATGATTTTGTAATTGTGTAAATACAAACGGTGTTCACAAGTTCCCAGTCCCCGGCTTGAAGATCCCATAAACATACCTTATTAGAATTAGCTGCCATGCAGTGGAGCATGCCATTGAATTCACACAAAGATGGAATGCTCCTACTTCCAAAAAATCCCTCAAACTCCGGTTGCTTTATGAATCTAATTTCCTTCTCAATATTGCAACACACTACACTTTATTTGCGGCTACCCAATACAGTGATCCTTCTATTTGAACTGTTAACCCTTCTAACGCACCACCACAATAGAAATTGGTCTACCATTTTCTTCTTCATGAAATTTGAACTGTTCAGTTCTCCAACCCCGCGACAAAGATGAGTACAAACCAACAATTACCAAACCCTCTTTGGCAATGGGATCTGCCCACAAATTTACCGGGAATTGTATTATTTGGTAGTGCCCACTTTCTTTATTAACAAGAAAACCAGTTTTCACATACTGATGAAGAGGGGACTCTGGGGGGTTTGGGAGCCAAATGAATTTCTTGGTGATGGGGTTGCAAACATAGTGCCTATCAATATGACCATAATTAAATTGAAATTGCTTCAAGCGAGAGCACAAAAGCAGTCCATGGCGACACACCTCGATGTAAAAATTGAATGGAATTAAAGGCATGGTTTCATCTACAGCATACAAACCCCTCTCAATCAACTCATCTACTTGTTCCTTTTGAGACCCAAATGTGAAGAACTTAACCTTTATGTCCTTTTCAGCATTAAAATTACCTTGATTACTATAAATGCCTGGCTTTATAGCACTGAATTTCTGATAAAATATGCCAACTAAGAGCTCTGGTTCTTTGCTACATAAAGAATAAATGGGGAGTGATGGAGATTTAGCGTTGAGTAGACCATACCAGTACAAGCTCACACATTGGAGTCAGGAAATGGACTTCCAAGGGATTCGAGATAGAATCGCAAACATGATATCATCTGGTATGTGAGCCATGTAGTGATGAGGCTGACTAGGCTCAGGTTCAACCTCTTGCTTTTTTGGCTCTGGCTTTGCCAATTTCTTGGTATCGTCGTCGTCCTCATCATCAGAGAAGATGATGAAGCTAGGCTTTTTTCGATTCCGATCAGTGGTGGTTGAACCCATCTGGTTGTGTTTGATTGGTGGCACTGAAGCAGTGGAATCAAGTAAGTACATAAGAGCCTTGTGCTACTGCCACCTCTCGCGGCGGCCGGAATCCCGGACATCCGCCAGCGTCCGCAGCCTCTTCAGACGGTAGTTATTATTATTAGAGTGCTGCTAATAGCACCTACCAAAATTCTTTGAACCTTTCATTTTTTTGGACCCCAACCCTAAACCCTAAATTTTAATTTGGACACCCCACTTATTACCAAATCTACCTATATTCATAACATTTTCACAATGAAATGCACACTCACCTAATTTTTCATCCAATTCCTAAAACAACCCTAATGAAAAGAAAAGAAGAAAACAGATGATACTCGGATGTTATTCCATGTTGGGTGGTTCACAGTGACTGAAAGAAAAGAAGACATAATAGCCATGGCCATGGCCTGTTCATCATCATCGTCTACTTGTTCAATTTTCAGTCCAAATATGCAAATTCTTAGTGTGCCATTATTATCAAAACCTATAAAAAAATTCAATCACATTCATCATCATCATCATCAAGATGAGCGTACAGTGGGCGGTGTTGGACGTCCATTGCTTCTGTATCGGCGCTTCCAAAAGAATCCATCATTATCAGAATTCTGAATGTAGCCCAAAATAATTTGTTCACCATTGTGTAGCCGAAAAAATGTATTTTGTTCAGAACTGTTTTGTCGAACAATAATGATCATGTCAGTACTGTATGTCCAAACAAAATTTATTCATCACTGTGTAACTTGAATCCATTCCAATTCACAGCTTAAAATAACATGAATTAAATCCATTCAAAATACATAACTTAAATCCATTCCAATTCACTCTTTTCCATTCTAAGTTAATTTAACAAAGAAAATTACATAACTGATTATCTGCATTAATGTTCGGAACCTATGTATTGAACGAAAGGATTATGTTCAGTACTGTATTACCGAACATAATTCTAACAGTCAGCAAACCAGTACCGAACAGTTCGAACGAAACAAGAACGACCGAAAATGACCGAGAATGTTAATACAAGATAGATAAACTTATTAATGGAACGTCGGTCTCACTAGAATTGTTGTCCTCGTCCTCCATTGCTCTACACAGTGAAATAAGTGATGAAGTATACGTTATACTTGAAGCAAAACTTTCAAGTTCAATAGCGTTGATGATGGTGATGAAGATGACATATTCAGGATTTAAAATGATTATAAAAAATAATAGATTTAAGGTTTATATTAGTTGGTTATGAAAAGTAATAGGTTTAGGGTTTACAAACATGGAATACGTATAGTTGGAGTTGGAGCTGGAGTTGGAGGTAGGGGTGGGTGTCTAATATTATAGAGTATTAGTTCTTATTGATAGGTGGGTGTTCCAGTTAATAATGTCTTTTAATATAATTTTACTTTAGGGTATAATTGTAATAAAAAAAATTATAAAATAGAGAGCTCAAAAAATTTTGACAGGTGCTAATAGCAGCACTCTATTATTATTATCATCCATGGAAGCAACCACTGAAAATGACGAGCATATCCCTAATCTTGAGAGAGGCTTTGAAGTAATCTCCAAACCTTCTTCATCTTTGTTTATCAAATTATAGTTTAATAATAATTACAAAAAACTTATCTCAAAAATCTCATTTAACCAATATATATTTACACATTTCTAATTCTTCATTTTAACAATTTATCAAAATAAAATATATATATATATATATATTGTTAAAAAATTTATGAAAATTTGATACATTCCTAATCAATGAAAATATTGAATCACAATTTTATTTTATTTTTTTGTCAAATTCAATTATATTAAAAGATCTCAGAGCATCCACAAGAATGTCCAAAAAAATTGTATGTGTCCCTAATTTTCAATGTGCCTCTACCATTATACTCATATTTCTCAGTATCAGCTGATTAAAAGCCATATAATACAAAATAATGTAATAATAATAATAATAATAATAATAATAATAATAATAATAAACAGTAATATTTATCATTTTTTTAAACTTCATAATTAAATTCACACAGTAAATGTTAAAAAATTCCAAAAAAAGAAAAAGAAAAAGAAAAAGAAATATACATAAAAAATCATAGTGGGCCACCTTTTTTTTTATTTATTTATTTGAAATCTTAGGTCAAAACTTCAAAGCAAAACATATACTAAAATCACGAGGATCTTAAACATACATAAAAATGTGTGTACCAAAAGTAGAACAATAAAACATACAAAAAAGTAAAAAAGAAAAAAGGAATTCATCGAACCAAAAGAACTGAGAGCAATAATTAAACTAACTGTAATAAAAATAAAAATAAAAATTAATAAGAAAAAACCAAAGCCTCACATTGTACAATTGTAGGGTACACATTTTTTTAACAGAAAGACAAACTACAACCTATACTGCCAAAGCAATATACATCAATTATTTCCATATGATTAGGCCTGTCATCGGATCAGATTTAAACAGTCTGTTAAGGAATATCCAATCTGATAATCCAAATTCAAATTAATCCAAATAGCGATTACTGTCAGATCAAATTCAGATTGTTTTCTAATCGAATTGGATCCAGTCCATTGACAGAGGCCTGCATATGACTAGAAAACAGAGAAACTCTATACAACAAACTATCAACCCTGCACCGCCAGAGCCTGCAAGTGTTCGATAAAAACTTGCAAGCTCACATCATCAGTGAATATAATCTCAGAACCATTTGTGTACATTGAGTTCTGCGTAACAGATGGATTCAACTTAGCTAGAAGAAACCTTGCCTGGCTACTGTGCTGGTCACATTTTATAACCTTCGGCACTGGTACACGTTCATCCACCAGTTGCTGCACGTCAAGCTCCGGTGCTTCCATCAGCGTTCTGAAACTCTCATCGTTCGGATCCTTGTCATAACCAAGTTTCCTCCACTGAGCAATCTTAGAACCATAGTGAATAACCACATAGAAGTAAGAATCGAAGAGCAAAATTACGTCCGGGGAGATAGAGCAAACATCAAGGAGAACTGGAATAGGAGGGCCATCAAAAGAATATTGGAAAAGAGTTGGTTGAATCATGATGAGAGAACCAACCACCCCTTCACGGTTTAACATCAACCGGAAAAAAGCTGTCTCGTCAGGACTGCTATTAAAGACATCAATGAACTGTGATCTCCGCAAGTAATACATAAATTGTGGGTATAGCGAGAAATTGGATGATAGACGGAATGTAGATGGATCTTCCGGCACATAATCTCCAAACTTAGAAGCAAAACTTATCAGCATCTTATCAAGCCATCTGATGACATCGTGAGCAAGATCCCTCTCTGCTTTGTGGATGGCAAGTCTAGCCACGACTGAAGCCGCTGCTTCCTGATCAAACCCACTGGTGATTTCCGGTGAGTTGTTCCCGACCCATCTCCTCGCGGCTGTGGTCACCCTTTTCCGAATCCCCATATTTCCGTGTTGGTAACGTGTAATGAACTGTATGAAGAATGCAGAGCTGGGTTGTACTTTCTGTTCATCGCTTACTTGGAAGAAGAAAGCAATGCATGTTCTGTTGGTGAGTGTACCTAACTTCCAAATATTGGTTCCACCCTCACCAATCTCTTTCTCGCTCACTGAACTGTTCTTTTTCCGAAGTGAAACACAGGGACCAAGGGCTCCACAGATTTTCACGTCTTTTGTCGTCACTATCTCGATAGTCACATCAAAACACATCTTCAAGTTCCCTTCTTCATCACGATTAAATAAGTGGCGCAAGCATTTTTTGAATTGCTCTGATTCAAATGATTCCCCTAACATCATGAATCCACCTGAGCTCTCGATAGCAGCACTTAGCTCAGCTGCTCCAACTTGATCAAGAGAACAAGCAAACAAATCAAGAACAATAGATGAATTCATTAACCTCTGTGATAATTGTTTATAGAACCGGCTCGACTTTCTATAGTTAGCTGCGTGTCCACTATTCAGGTCTCGGTGAGTTCTGATTGAATGACCAAAATCTGAGTTTACAATCATCCCAGGGCCAACAGTTCCAGGCCCAGATGTGAAGACCAAGATTCGTGAACCTGTGTTAATTGAGCATCCTTCTAGGAGTCCAACAGCAGCTGATATTGCAGCGCCTGTTGACCGTTGACGACGATGACCAGGTATGACCTGTGATGAAGTATGGATATCTTCAATTGATGTGGTGATATTGAACTCACATTCTGATACCGGCAACAGAAATCCTTGCTTTTGATTAGCCAGTGCCTTTCCAAGTTGTTGCTTCAGGTGATGAATCCCCAGCAATTTTTTGGTCTGGCAATAAATAACAACACAATAAAAGTTAAAAGAAACCAACTATACTACATAAAAGAGAAATTAGTCAAATGACAAATAAATTCTTTATGAACTGTGAAAGAAACCAGTAAAATTTCATCTTAACACACACCGTTACTATATATTCTACTGCCTGTCAAATGAAAACTATACACTAAACCTGAAAACCTTTAAAAACATGAATCTGGAGAATTTGTGATATCATTGGGATGTTTTTAAGAAGCAGCATACTGTTTCAAACTGATGTGCAAACCAGCAATCACAGCCTTGACAAATGAGTATGCGTGGGATGTATATAGGAAGAGGTATGCAAATGTTCCCATAGAATGAGCATATGATAGGAAGACGAAATTATAAACCAAAGACTATAAAAACATCAGGTTTTTTAGCAGGTTTTTTGATATAAAACATCAACATATAAAAGGGTAAAGCAGGTAGATATAAAAACATACAATGGAAATTGGATACCAGTAGATTGAAAGATGAAGACGAAATTATAAACCAAAGACTATAAAGGGGATAAAAAAAATCGCAAAATATGTTACATGGTAAAAGGCAAACAAGGTAGTGCAGTAGGCCTTTGCAATTTAGCAGGTTTTTTGCAAGAATGGGAGGTGAAGCCCATTGACGCATTTTTAAAAAAAATAAAAAAAAATTCAAAACACACCATAAGGGGATCTTTGTACACCAGGAGTATATAAAAACAATGCACTCTCATTAAGAGATAGTTCTACCAACACATATATATTCACAAAAATGCCCTTTTAGGCCAAAATCTGGAAGTATGAATCAGAGACAGCTTTAATCTATGAACAGACATCTCTAACTCCTCATGAAAGGGGATTTGGTGAGCTAAGGCTCAACTGAGGTAGAGCATTTTGCAAGGGAGGATGGGAATCACCTTCCGCTAAATTGTCCGGTGACTAGGGAATTATTTTGTGTGGTGTCCTCGGTTTTTGGGATTAACTGGGTAATGCTTGGTGCAGTAAGGGGATGGCAGCTTCTATGGGTAAAGGTTGCCCAAGGGGTCATGCAAGGTTGTGCTTGAACTTGATGGTCATGGATAGAGAGGAAGGAGGCTTTTGAACAAAGAGAGCTTTCAGTCCAAAGTTTAAAGGAGTCGACTCAAAAGAATGAAAAAAATTATTTCGCTTACCCATGAATGAGATAGAGGCCATGTATATATAATTGATTCATGATACAATTTAGGAAACGATATAAATAAGAAAACGATGTAAATAAGGAAAAAATACTAAATCAGTGATTGATAGAATCATAAATTATATACATAATATTAAAAATAAAAAGATTCTATGTATTCTAATTTCTATATTCAACACTGCCTCTCAAGCTAGTGTGAAGATATTCAACAATCGCAGTTTGCTAATGGATGACTGGAAGAAGTTGGAAAAAACTCAACGACTAGTCCAAATAAATGCTACCAAACAAATTTAGTAGATCACTAAATAAAAAAGACCAAAAAAATGCTTAATACATCAGCACCACACCCTAAAAGGGAAAAAAAACAGGGATTGAAGTACCTTAAAAGAGTTACCGAAGCATCTAATGGCTAGGAAACAGCCAACAAGACCCTAGTTGGCATTAGAGGCCAGAGCTAATGCCAAGAAATAGTTTATAGTCATGTCGAACCGTTGTAGAAATGGATAGGAACTAATGTCGGGACAGTTTAAGGTCATGCTAGACCATTGTAGGAACTGACCAAAATCAATGTCGAAACAGTTTACGGGGTCATGCCGAACTGTTGAACTAACCGGAATCAATGTCGGGACAGTTTAAAGAGATCATGGCAGACCGATGTAGAGAATTGAATGTTGAACCAGCAAACGTGACACACACATAACTTATGACATCGTGCTGAACAATGATGGCAATAAATGACTGAGTGCGCTAAAGGGTGGCTTATTAAAAAGTGAACCAGGGGGCGGCTTTGGTGGTGCACTAGAGGAGGCGGTTTTAGTTACGCCAGAGAGGGCGCCTTAGGTGGTGCACTAAGGGGGCGACTTGAGTTGTGTGCTAGAGGGGGTTGGTGGTTCACATGGTATATCACCATGCTCACCATGATATACGTATAATAGCCCCTCTCAAAACTCAAATAGGTTTGAAAATATAAACCTATTTGAAGTTGAAAGAGAGGGAAAGACAAAGTGGAATAGAAACACATAAAAAAATGAATTACGAGTAAAAAAAAATATGATAGAGATATTTGAGATAGAAATAAACTACTAGATAGAGGAAGAGAGAAAATATGGTAGTGGAATGGGTTGAGGTCCGGCGGGCAGCCAAGGCAAAGCTATCGCCCGTTGATGAAGCAAAATTACTAGGTACTTAACCTAACTCTGATACCAAAAAGAATAAAAAAAAATTATTTGACTTACCCATGAATGAGATAGAGGCCATGTATATATAATAGATTCATGATACAATTCAGGAAACGATATAAATAAGGAAATGATGTAAATAAGGAAAAAATACTAAAAATACTAAATCAGTAATTGACACAATCATAGATTATATACATAATATTAAAAATAAAAAGATTCTATGTACTCTAATTTCTATATTCAACAAACTCTTGTTTCCATGTATTTATGGTTTGGAGTCTTTTTTCATTGTTTCATTTTCTCTTTTGCTGTTTTGGTGGAAGAGTTTCCATCAATGCATATAGGCTACATATGATGTCTTGTATAATTTGCATATTCAAGGTTGCAGCCCTTTGTGGTTCTATTAGATAAATTTTACTTGCTCAATTCAAAAAAGAAATGGAATTGGAGAGATTGTAGGCAAATGCCTAACAGGAGAAGAACAAAGAAGATAATTAGTGACGAGAATATTGATTAAACTCGTGTCAGGAAATTGGACTATTAACAATATTACAGAATAAGTCCACAAAGCAGCAAAAGATGAGGTTAAACAACAAGCCTTGTAACATTCGGTTGGGTTAATCCGATGGATAATTGAAAGAGAGAACCATTACAAGACATGTTAAGTGACATTAAGACTCCGTCAAAAGATGTTTCCCTAGAAGGTATTTGGTGCACAAAAGCACTTTCTTGTGTGAATGGTCACTGTAGGAAATATTTTAACATCATACAACTTGAAAATAATGAGAAAGGTACTCCTAAATTAGTGTTATATCATGTATACACACAAAAGGGAGAAGGAAATGATTAATCATCAGTTGTGTGCTTGCAGGCTGGGGAGTAATGGTATATTCTTCTCAACCTTTTTGGGGCATACTAGACAGCGCCAAATTCAATTGTTGAGGTATTTACAGATTGGTATGTTTATCTTTAGGAACAATAAAGCAATTTAGAGAGTGGTACTTCTTTACATTTGTGGTATAGGGTTGCACAGAACTCAGGTTGGGTCAGACTTTACCCCACCTAAGAAACCAAAAAAAAAAAAGACCTCAGTTAATTCTAAAGATTATATGCTTTAGAAACCAAACACAACCAAGCTGGATATTCTCGGTTAAATTTGGATCAGCTTCAGTTATTTTCGCCGCAAAGTTCGCATTTTTAAATTTTGTTTTCCTGTTGCAACTTTTATTTACTATGAGATCTAATCCTGATAAAATATTGCAATAAATGATAACTGCGAATGAATATAGTGACTGAAACTATTTCATAGGCTATCATCTTTGAGAGGCTAGTTACCACCATGTTCACAAAGAATATGAGGATGTGATTTTACATAAAAAGGTAGAGGGAAAGCTTTCCTAACCAACATCAAACGATACAGCAGAGCTGGTGATAGACCTCCTCTTTGACCAATCCCACCGCAGAAAAAACACAATCTTCTTTTTCTCAATTAGTTTATTAGTGCATGGGTTGGGACTGAGGTGAAGGGTATGGCATCACACTAACCCTGTTTTCATATGGGTCTCAATCCTTGGGTTTTTTTTGGGTATACTGATCCCAATACAGAAGTTGAGCCAACCAATGAGGTTGGTTCTTCGAAAGTGTAAACCTGGAAAGAGCCAAGACAACCAAACAATAAGACCAAATCAAACCATGGATGAACTTTGGTACAGTTCTTGAGTTGGTAAGTCCATATGTACACCCCTACTAGGGCACATCTGGAAGGAGAGGAACATCAGCTCATATAGGAGTTGGAGTAGAGAAGTTCATACTAAAAGTTAAACTGGCTTTTGAAAATCCTAGGTTGCGTTTAGTAGAGCTTTAAAATTATGATTTAAGAATAGAGTTGTATTTTGAGTTTGTGAGTTTTGCAATTATGATTTGAGCAAGGTTTTAAAAAGCGGCCGCAACCGTTATGTACCGTTACGTAACGGTTTTTGCGGTTATTGCCACCCGTTACGGCCGCTTTTGTAGTGTGATTGAGATTCACAGGTGTGTCGGCCATAACAGCTGTCGTAGCGGTCGTAATGGTGCCGTAACAGCCGTAACGGCTTGTTACACACCGTTACGTAACGGTTCCAAATTGTTTCTTTCGAAAAAATACACAAAAAAAAGCTGAAAATGGGGGAAGAGAGATAGAGAGAAGAGGGAAAATAAGGAGAGAAAATGGATGAGCAAAAGATAGAGAGAGAGAGAGAGGAAGGGAGATGAAGAACATGTTATTGATTTGTTGAAATTGTAAGACCTATGTTTTTCTATTCAGCTGCTATCACTCAACCATTTTGTTTATGTGTGTCTATCTATATATTGTTTGAAAATAATAATAATAATAATAAGTGTGGTCATTATCTATTTAGCTTGGTTAAAATATGTATATATATATTTAGACTCTTAGTTATTCTCTTACTTTTGTCATTATTTATCTTATATATAATAGTTAGTGATTGATTTTTTGTATAATATAAAGTCATTAATTATTAAAATAAAATATAAAAAACTCAGTTTATAGTGATTTAAAAATATAAAATATATTGAATCATACTTAAAAATTTACAAAAATTGATCAATATTTATTTTTAACCCAATAAATATGATCATGGAAAAAAAATATGCGTATCGGTAAATTTTTTTCAAATTGTGCGAAAAATAAAAAAATTCACGGTTCCGGTTACCGCAACCGTTACACTCCGACCTTTACACCCCGCAACCGCAACCGCAACGGCAACGGTGCCACCGCCACCGTTACAGCGACCGCAACCGCTTTTCAGAACCTTGGATTTGAGTGTGGAAAATTTATTTGGTCATGAGTTTTGAAAAGAGTTTTGAATTGAGTTTGGAATAATTGATGTGACATATGATATTTGATTCAAAAACTTACAACTCACAACCAAATACATAATCTAAAATTCTATTCAAAACTCATAAAAAAATTTAAAAAATTCGAAAAATATTTTTATTTAATATATAAAAAAAAACAGGTGTCAATTGTAAGAAAAAATAATAATAAAAAAAAATTTACAATGTTCCGGTCAACCGGCCAAACGTCCAGGAGGATGACTGGGTAGGCCGAATTTCAAAATTCAAATCCCGCCTGAAACGAGTTTTCAAAAGTGGCGTGAAATTAAGTTTTGAAAGTTACAACCAAACATCATACTCAAATATGGGTGTGGAATCATGATTTGAACTCCACACCAAACGCTGTCCTAGTCTTTCTGGCTTGCTTCAAGCTATCCTCTAATTCTCTTGTTCATTTCCTCATAGGCTTATTTTCTCACATACAGATTAGCATACCTCTTTTTTTCTAGTTATACTGTGTACTTTACTAGTACTCTGGTTGCACTCCTTTTTTGCCCCCAAAAAGAAAAAAAATATTAAGGGCTGGAGAACCAATCTAACAAAATTAATAATGTACTCAAATAAAACTATGCTTAACATAACTTGGCAAAGCATGATCAGAATTTCTATACAAAAAAATTTCCACTCTAGATAATGTATTGCCAAGCCTCATCAAATTAAGAACAACCATTTTCTATTAAATCATAGACCAACTCTTGTCAAACCATGGCAATCACTAGATAAATATGTGTGCCTAATATAAACCACATGCATGAATAAACACATTTTCCCAATACGTAATGGACCTATAAGCGTACAAATGAAAGAAAAGCATCAATGGCTGAAAAAAGTAAGGAAGCAGAGCAGAGGTGAACCTAGTAAAACCAATGACTTAGCTACCTTCTCACCCATTAGGGAAATCAATCATCAAAATGGAGGGACGATGAAGAAGCTACTGAACTTTGCAAACCAAAAACAACGCATTGAGCCTCTCAAAGTCACTAACTCACACTTTTTGATTGATAGCCAAGAGATACCTAAGAAATATCATTTTCAATATCTTGGATCAATTATTCATAAATGAGCAGAGATTGAAATAATGTGACACAGAATTAAAGTGAGTAGAAGAAATGGAAGAGTATATAATCCATACTCTATGATCATAACATTTTTGTAAAGTTGAAAGAAAATCTTAGATGTATGGTACAAAATGTTGGGCGGCTAAAAACTTGTTAAAAATGAGTCTATCTTGAATGAGAATGTTGAATTGAATGAGTAATGCCATGAAAAAAATTCAACATGATCGCCTTCAAAATTGAAGATAAAATGAGGAAAAATTGTCCACAATGATATGATCATGCACAGCATGATTATCTGATGAGCCTGTAAGTTAGAGTGATTTGATCCATGTTGCGGTTGCTAAATAAATAGAGCAAGACCAATGAAAACATAGGTGTAGTTAGTAAACGGTCATGATTGCCGTAGGTTTCATGCTGACATGTCTTTTAATAAAGACAACTGAACTAAATGAACCAATGCAACCAAGCAATATTTCATTTTGCATTTGAAATTCGATATCTCTATAACTTCCTATTAATGTTAGCAACATTTCAAATATGACACAATACCAGTATAATTCTCGGCGTAAACTGTGACTTTGTTCTGCTATGGATTGAACTACCTAATTTAAGTTAACATTAGCAATAATAAGCATTTCGAATAAATTGATGAAATTATATGCTGTTTGTTAATTACCTGATCCGACGAGAGCTCACGTTCACCATGGAGCACCACAACCCTCAAACACTCAGCAAAGCCAAGATCATGAACACTCACCATTGAATCAAAAGTCACCAATCCCACCAAAGCATTCTCCGGCAACTGCGATACAACAAGCAATAACTCATTCTTAAGCACTCTAAGCTCCTCCTCCGGCGTACAAACATCCACAACAAACACAAAAGCCGGCCCAACCCCTCTCGAATCCAAACCCGACAGCGAAGAAGACGAGAACGACGAAACCAACGAAGCCGATGACAGAGCCGGCGATAAAGAAGGCGATGACAACGACGACCCATGACCCCAATTGCTATTCAAATTCAAATTGGAACTTGGGTTCGACACTTTGTGAGCCCAATTGCTATTCAAATTATTCAAATTGGAACTTGAGTTGGAAACTTTCTTACCCAATTGATACTCCACAGTACTGTAAGTGGGAAAAAGCTCGGCAGGAAGATTGTTCTCGCCGATTCCGGAATAGGATCGAGGGAAGGAGTTCTTGCGGTAGCAGAAGGGGCAAACCCAGATCCGAGACTGGTAATCGACTCGAGCATAAGGGTTTAATACGGCGCCGCATAGGTTGCAGATGAGAGGATCGTAAGGAAGTAGTGGAAGCTCATTGAATTGCATCAACGGAGTGGACATGATCGAGAGAGGGATAACCAAAGCATTAGCTTCGGAGTTGGAACATGGCCATGAATTCCATGACCACCGGAGACCTTCAATCGCCTCCAATTCCACGAAATCCATTGATCACAACTCGATAATCAAAGTAAATTCAATACAAAAACAATTTAGCTTGATTACATATTTATGAAGAGAGAAAAAAAAAACACAAAGTTGTGTGTAAAGCTAGAAGGGTTTAGAGGAAAAGGCTTTTAGGGTGTGGGGAAATGGGTAGGTGGGTGGGTCGACAGTGAAGTAGGAGGAAGACAGCGACAATGGAGAAGGTATAAAGTACCAATCTTGAGATAAATGTCACAGGATGAAGATACCAGAGACGACAAACACATGGGGTGCTTCAATGTTTTAAAAATCGGACGGGGAACCAATCGGAAAAAAAATTGGATAGACGGATAATCGGTTCAATTGGATTGTGCTGTGATGTTATAATTATATTATAAATAGTTTTTTTTTAATATAAATTAATAATATATAATAACTTTTTAATTTTAAAAAAAAATTAAAATATTTTTAGTTATGTTTTTAAAAAATAAAAAAATAAAAAAAAAATCCTAAGTCACAGTACTTCACATGCTAACAATCAAAAAAAGAAAAATTCATTACTCAAAAAATAATAAAAAAAACATCCATCAGTCACATTATCTCTGTGCTCTCAATCTCAATTTCCAAAAAGACGAAAAACCCATTGCTCAGCCTCAAAACAAAGGGCCAAAATGATGGGTTCTCTAAAATGGGTTCTCTTGAGAATTGTCTTTCATTCAAGAGAGAGAGAGATCAAAATCTACTTCCTTCAACGAGCAAGCACCAACAGGAATTAATGAAACCCATTTGATCAAAGACTCAGATCGAGACTCACAAGATTTGTATTATTCAAGAAGATTGATTATCTACAATGGATTTGGACTGTGGGTGTCTTCTTCTTTATTGCAAGAAGAGTTGAGAGCTTGAGTTGAGTTGAGTGATTCGTTAATGGTGATAATGATTGATGAAGAGAGAGAGATTAAGCTGTGCAAGGTTTTGCCGAAGAAGATCTGCTGCGGCTGAAGAGAAACGAGACAAATTTGGGTTTTTTTTTTTTTTAAAACAAAACCGTTTCGGTTTGATTGACCCGTGAACGGGTTGGACGATTCGGCGGTTCAAACGGTTCTCTTTCAATACAAAGGTTTTTGACTTTGAATGGTTTGAGAGGGTTGATCGGACCGAAACCTCACCCGATTGACAATTGAACCGGCCAGTCCAGTTCGAATTTCAAAACCTTGGGGTGCTCAATATCACTATGCCCCAGTTTGACAAACTTCTCAAGTTAAATACTTACAAAAAAGAAAAAAAATTAAATAAATTAATAAATTAAAAAGTTAACAAAAATATTTGTCATTTCAAAGCTAAAAAATTAAAAAAAAAAAAAAAACCAAACAAACAAACAAAAAAATCTCAGACTAAAAAAATTTAAAAAACCAACTAAACAGTTATTACCAAACGATTCTTATATATATTTTATGATCAACCATGTTTTTTAGATTTTGTAAAAGATTATAAGTAAATTTTGTATTAAATTTTTGGTAATATAAATTTTCTCTTTTTCTAAATTTGGTCTATTGATATATATATATATATATATATGTATTTTTTAGCCCTAGGTGGCTCAAGAGGAAGTTGGCCCGATTGGCTCGAAATTCAAAACGACGTCGATTTGGATTTTTTTTTTTTTTTTTTTCTTTCTCTTTTCTCTATTCTAAAACAGAAAGGCGAAGAAAATGAAGATGAAGATGAAGAAGAAGAAGAAGGAGGAGCTGGGGACAAGAAATATACACAGATCATCAAATTAGACTTCAATCATGTGATTGGGTTCTGCATTGAAGAGGGAGTTGAGGACAAGAAATATACACAGATCATCAAATTAGACTTCAATCATGTGATTGGGTTCTGCATTGAAGTCTTTTTTGGGTTCTCAACATCAACAACGACAACAACAACAACAACACACACACACACACACACACACATAGAGACAAATTTTTTTTTTGTATACATAGATCATCAAATTGAATACACAAATCATCAAAAAACAAAAAACCGAGAGAGCATCAATTTTTTTTTTCTTCTTTTTCTTTCATCTTGTCTCCCTCTCATTCCATTAACACATCATCATCGACACCGGATTTGTGTGTATACACAGATCTATACACACACACACACACACATATATATATGAGTGTGAGAGAGAGAGAGAGCCACCAGATCTATACACACACATCTCTATTTCGTTATTCAATCTAAGTTATTGCCCGACCTATGGTTGCCCGGTCTGCGAGCTTCACCAATTCCCAAGGATAAGGTATGCTTGGTCAGTCCTAGTTTCTACATTATTAAAACTAAGTATTAGCGCGGCATACTTTGCACGACTTCAAGGTTAAAGAACATTTTAGATCGGCTATTAGAGTGAAGCATGATAGCTCAGTTTAGGATAGGAGGTCTCAGGCCGGTTTTAGGCCTTCGTTTGAGACGCCTAGTTTCCTAGCTCGGTGCAATGTCTCCACAAGCTCATTGCGCGGTTTTCGCCCTTTGGCAGAACTACAAACGAGTTTTAGCTTGACTCAATCATGTTTTTGGATCTAAAAGCATAATTTTGCTCGGTTTTATCCAGAATTCATGTTGTTCATCCTAAATGTGAAGTTCACATATTGAAACTAAAGAGAATAAGGGGCACAGTGGCCCTATGTGTGTTTTTTATTCTAGTTTTGCCTAATTTCTACAGATGCCTATCGATTTTACCTCTTGAGAGGGGTATTAGCAGTGTTTCAACAATCTCGAATAAAGAAAGATGAAAAAACTCGAAGAACAACAATGGAAAAAAGCTAAAGACAAGAAGAACTTACAGATTTGGGCACCAAATCGAGTTCCAATTGACCTCAACCTCTGTTGCGATGTCCGCAAAGATGGAGAACACTGGAAGCTGTGCAATCGGGAACGATGACGATGACGATGACGAACGTGGCAAAAACTCAAGGGTTTAGGGTTTTTCACAGAGGAGACGAATAGTGAAAGGGTTTGAGGTCTGACCTTTCGTGTATATAGGTGATGATGAAGAGGCGCTAACTTTTTGAATTTCAAAAATAGTGGGGACAACTGTAAAGTTGCACGGAACTAATCAGAGGGGGCCACGTGGCATCGAAAAGATGGTTTGTCAATACGACTGATTAATTGAGGACAAAACGACCGGCGCAAGCCTCAATGACCGACCAAAGTGGATAGCTCAGTCAGAAATAGTAATCCCAATCAAGCTCAGCTTGGATGGGATTAAGGGGCAATTGAGAGGGAAATTTGTGTCGAACAATGGACCGAGCTACACCAACATGGAATATGGTGTTGAGCCACGAAAGGAGAACTTGGGGCGCATTGTGAGGCCGAATTGGATCCGCACTAAATATAGTGCAACGTTGAGATGTATTGGGCCGAGCTAAGACTTCATGGAACACGATGTCGGACCGAGTTTGACCCATGCGGATTATGGTGTTAGGCTAGACTTAGCCGAACAAGCTCACGATGGGGCCAAGCTGTAGACGGTTCGGACTGCAATTGTGAAGATAGACGGTCCATGAGACCGCGGTGCGTAGCCGAGATACCGAACTACGTACCTGACTTCGGTCGAAGCTGATAGGTTAGTTTGGTTCAGCTTAACATTAAGCAGTCCAACGTGACGTTTATATTTTGCCAAGTAATAGCTCGGCTCAATTTTCCACATGAACCAATGACGAGAAGAGGGAAATCCACTTTGGTATGCATCAATACCATTTGGCAATACAACAAACATTGTTTGGCGGTTTCCGTCTCTACACGTATAAGAAAGGTAGAAGGGAGCACAGTCGCCTATCTAGGAAGGACAATAGTGCGTTCACAATCTCTGAGGCTGTATGGCCAGCCTTGAAAATGAGGAAGAGGCACACGTTAGAAGTAAGCAACTTGAAGCAATCTTGAACTCTCTCTTTCTCTCTTTAGAGTGCTCTGCCTTTTCTCTTCTCCTAGAAAGTTAACTTGACCGTGGGAGGACTTTTCCAGCAAACCCACCCGCCGAGTAGCTCACCGTTGCATTCTCAAGTTAACTGGAATGAAGCAAAGCTTGGACACGAGGAGTACGGAAAGCGACAAATATTTCCTCCCTGTACAATTGGCGCCGTCTGTAGGAATTTTGACAGACAAAACCTTGTCCCTCAAGTTTTTCTAATCAACTTCAATGGTGAACAACAACGAGATTTCGCTGTCCGCCGTTGACGGCATCACTCCAGATTCTATTTGAAGGTGAGATGACTTGCCCGCCGTTCCAACAATGGGTGATTTAGAGACTTCTATGCCAAAGCCTCCCAAAGATATGCGGGATAAACGTGCAAGGAGTTATGGGCGCTCATTAAGTCTAGAAAAACGTCGCCAATGGTGAGATCCACACACTCAGCACCTGGAAGACAAAAAAGACCAAGATACCATCATCAAGAAGATGGCGACGGAGATGGAGGCCTTGAAACACTAGATAAAGGAAAAGGGCGTAGCTGGAGTAGGAAACCACAGTGAGCACACCCTTTCTTGTAGTTCCGATAATCAGAATAGATGCCGCACTCTTTCTCTCTCCGTCACAAGAAGTTTCAAAGCTAGAGACTACGTCACACCGACGGTAGCATCTCGTACGCAGGACAGTAGTTATCATCCTTCATGCTCGATGATGACATCGAAATATTCTCACTCCGATCGTTCGAAAGACCTGAGGGATGTATTGGAAGAGTGTGCTCACCGGCAGGAAGCACAGAAGGTATCGGTGTTGCAACGGCTAGCCCCCAGAGGGCGAGCCATTAAAGAGGTCGCGATGCCACCACCACGCCTAGCAGCACACGCGCCACTAGACAGGGAGTTGGCGAGGCTGAGCACCACCCCTTTTTCCATTGAGATAGAGAACACGCCGCTCTCCGCTGACTTTCACCAACCCAAGTTCGCGCTCAATGACAAAAAGACCAATCCCTACATGCACTTAAGCCATTTTTGGCAACGTGTGGATGGACACAAGCGGAACGATGCATTGATGTGCCTTATTTTTCCATTGAGTTTTGGCGAATTAGGCCTAAAATGGTTCAAGAGGTTGCCGGAGGAGAGCATCGAGGGGTTGCAACAGTTAGCGGTGGCATTTGTTACCAGATTCAAGACAAAACACCAAAATGCCCAAGAAAGATGACCATCTCTTGGAAATAAAAATGGAATCAGGTGACTCTTTGAAGGCAGATAACCCCAAGTATTGGAAAACTTTCAATGAGATCCTTAATTGCCTGACCAACCTTGCAATCACTCAGTATAAGCGCAGATCTTCCAGTCGGACATAGACTGAGAGATTCGCTCACAATGAATCAA